GCTTCCTTGCCTCCATTTCCATTTCGCGATGCTTGTTCATCTCCTCAGCAATAGCTTGCTGCTTTTGCAGCATTTGCTCCTGCTCTTTCTGCTGCTTCTTGATTTCACGCAATAGTTTTTGTGCTTCACTTCCAGTAGCTTTTATTGTATGATCCTCATCCTTCGATTTGTCCGACACTGACTTATGCGAATACGTAAACACGTTCTGAAGAATTTTTCGAATTTTAGTTAAGATTTACATTTTAAAAGAAAAAATTCGACCCATCACAGCCCCTCCCCCCTCCTTCCTCTCCCTAGTGAATCAACATCGCCAATAGCTTAATCATAACCAACTAACGCGAGGGGATCCGTTAGCAACCTTATAACAGCCATTATTTTTTGCTGGCATGTACTACCTTATCCAGGGTCATTTCTCAGTGTTTCCAACTCTCGAAGAGCAAATTATGGAGGGATCCTGAATTTTAAGATAGCTTTGAACCCAGCTTTCTGCGAATATTTGGATCCGCAAAAATTCATAAGTTAGGACTCATAGCAGCTTCTAAAATTATTGGATCTTACAGTCGTATAACCGAAAAACTTTATTCCGCCTTATAAATTAAGAAATTTCCGCCTCTTATCAGTTTCTTCTCTTGGAAAGACCCTCAGTTTTAACGACTCCCCTAACGGAAACACTTGGTAAGACTTCAGCAATCTTAAGAATTCATTAGCTATTAACACCACCACCTCATCTTGACAGTTTCCATATCCCTACAACAGTGAGGTGCTTTATGGATAAGGGATTTATTATAAAATCAAGGTAAAAAAAGACTTTCTACTTTTTAGGTTTTTCAAAGGAAATAAGATGGAAAGTGAGCAAAAAATGAGATTTAATACTTGTGATTTTGTTGCGTTCATATCCAACTTCGTCTTTTCTAGGCGTTTTAGTGCGCTTTCCATTTTCTCAGCGTCTGAAAAGAAGCTCATCACCAATATTAGTCCCACACAACCACCGTTCTAATTACACTTTTTACCGTGTATTTCTTCTTCGCATGTGCCACGGTCCTAGCTGCATGAAAATTTTAAAAAACTGGGCGGCGTACCGACTGCCGATGTAAAAATGCGTTTTTTGTACAATTCTCACATAGATTTTTGTCGTTAGTGGCACTGTTTTTTCCGGCAGATGATTCTAGCTAAAAGAATTGAGGCTGGCCATCACGGATGTCAGAAATTATCAAAATGACTCCCAATCTGTACCCCAAAATTCAATATTCTAGGTGCTTTGGTTGTGGAGTTATATGAAATACGTGCGGACACGTGAAGATTCTACATAGACAGTTTTGTAACTTCGAAACCGAAGCAATCAGAAGACTGAGCGTAACTGACGCCGGCGTTTGACCAGTTGGACGTGAAAACAGCTATCACGTTCCCTGTTCGTAAGCGAAAGAGACGTGAATGTTGTTTTCACCTACGTCTGCCCAGACATGATAACATGCCACGCTCAGAAAATTTCAGCACCCCAGGTGCTCTGGCTGCAGGGTTACGACAAATATTTCGTGACCGCACGTGAAAGGAAACATAAATGCTGTTTTTATGTGCTGGCCGAACACGGTCCTAGACCAGCATAGAAAATTTCAGCACTCTAGCTGTTTCGACGCGGAGTTATGTCAAATTCCACGTGTTCGTAGGCCAGATGTACGTTTGACATGAAAGGAACGTGATAGCTGTTTTCACGTTCAACTGATCAAACGCTGACGCCAGTCACTCTCAGTCCTCTGGCTGCTTCGGTTTCGAAGTTACAAAACTGTCTACGTGGAATTTTCACG